TATTTTTTTAAGCTAATAAAATTAGTCCTGAGTTGTGTGAACTTTTTCCAAAATAAGAATTAAAAAATTTCAAGGATATCCGAGGATAACATTAAAAAAACGGTATTTTCAATACCTACCCGACTCTTACGCACCAAAAAATGTAATATGTTTTAACTCTACAGAATCTTCTTTCATTTGAAATCCATACTGGTTTTTTTAAGTATATTGCACTGAAATTTTTAAATCATTTTTTGAGTTACTCATATCTTTCAAATTTCAAAGTTCTTTTAAAAAATCCTGACATCAGAGAGAAAAATTAAGAACGCAATTATATTATATTTGGCCCTTGGTTTGGCATATATATTGATTTTTGTGTGTGCAAAAATGTTAAATATTAAATAACCAAAAGAAATATAGCCAAAACTATTCAACATAAAGCGTTTCTATTATTGCCACCAGTGTAATTTACAAATCCTGAAAATCCCGGGATTCCAGGCAAATAATCCCGGGATTTTCGAGACTTAAAAAAGACCGGGATCCCGGAATACCGGGATTAACATTCCTAATGAATACCTCCAAAAATGGATTCATTCGCAACATCCCTAATATCTATGGTCATTTGAAAGAACAACGTAAAACCGTATTTCACAGTTACATGCATACGTTTGTCGACAAAATATTTTTTCCGTCTGAGCAGTACATTTTATTTAAAAAAATTTACATAAATAATCAAAAATAATCAAAAAATAATATTTTTATTGTAAAACTAATCCCATTAGCTTTTTTTGATTACTTTTGATTATTTTTAATTTTTTTCTAATTGGCTAAATTTATGATTATTTTTTGGTTATTTTTAATGGTAATCGGTAATTATTAATTTAAAAGTGGAAATAATGGTAATTAATCATTTCTCAAATTAAAAAAAATAATTAATTAAATCGGTAATCATTACAATTTATAATCAACACTTAACAGCTCTGCCTATGGGAGATGTCCGCTTATAGGAATTTCGTAAAAAATAAAATAAAAATTCATACTTAAAAAAATGGATATTGCGGGTTTCTAAATTAAAATAATATTTATTCTTCAATAGACAGAAACAGGGTGAATTAAAAATAAATTCAAATTTATTGCGTTTTCTTTCTTAACGACATGATTTAGGTAAAAAAAAGGAAAATTTTGTAATTTTTAATAACTTTTTTATTTAGTACTTAAATTAAAAAATTGGGAGAGTAATTTTGCTGCTTTTTCGGGTTACAGCCTGTTTCCTAACGGGTCGTAAATCAAACCTGCTCCATTAAATAACTACTCGCTCGAGGCGACAAACTTGAAACTTTACAAAATTGTAAATTCTTTTCGATTGATGATCGAACGAAAAGATCAAAAGAGACAAGAAAACTTGAAACGAATTGACGGTACGGAGGTATCTGTACTCTTCCCCTCTCTTCTCACCTCCTTCGCCAACGAACGAGCAGACTTGAAAGCAAGACTTGACGTGTCTGAAAGGGGACTAAGCTGCTCGTTGATATAAATGCGAACTGTACTGATTGTCAAAAATTATGTGTTTGTTGTACATTTGTTCATGTTTGTCATTGTGCGTGTAATTTTCTAGAGTAGTTTTGTGCTCTCGCAATCTCTTTGTATTAACTCGTCCTTCGTTGGTATACTGAACATATGTGAGGATGATAGCAAGGCCAACTTATATAAGGTAGTGTTACAGGAGAAGTTGAAATTTTCGCCCGATGTTTCTTAAAGAAAGCCATAAACGTAGCGACCGTTGGTTCAGCTTGGTGTTATTTTACTGTAGATTGAACCGTTTGTGGGCCTGTGGAATGAATTTATGTCTTGGTTGTATGAAAGATCAAAAAATTTGGATTTTCTGGGAAGTTGTACAACTTATCGCTACAATAATGACCATGTTGTACAAACTCATTTAATTTGCGTTTATTTTGTACACTAAATAGCCGAAAATGGATAACTCAGCCGAAATAGGTACGTGCTTTCGATGAATTTTACAAATGTAAGCCGAAACTATGAAATTGTAAAAATGAGATTTTACAATGAGACTGCTCGCAAAATTGCAATGTTTGTGGGCAAAGCGTCCAACTTGATCGCGGATTGATTTGAACCAACGTTTTCGGCTTGCATTATGTCAAGAGGATGGGTTTGTTGTATTTATGAAATTATTTCATGCGTTTGAGTAGAAACTGAATGAAAGAACACCATTTCATGATTACAATTAACGCGAAATAGAGTTTATGCACTTAGTTTTTACTCAGATGAAATGATTTCGTGAAATGGACTACGCATATCTACATGTGATACTTATGCTTTTAATCTATAAGGTAATTTTATGTTTTTATACTCTTGCTACCACATGAATATATGAATTCGTGATAAGAATTTATGAATTCGCCTTGGAAGATAGAAAGCGAGTAAGAATAAATGCCGAACAAAGGAATTTGTCTTCTTTCAACTTAAATAAATGCATTTTACAAACAAAAGTGCGTACGTTACTTAGTGCCTTGGTAATGGCGAATTCGTAAGGATCTATTGACTGCATTATAAACATTTTCATTTATTTGTTGAACATACAATAACTTTCATTACAACCCGGTCCTTTGGATGCTAGAAGTGCGAATTCATATAAGGTGGTGTTACCGGAAAATGAATAAATAAATTACATGTATTTCAGAAAATTAATAAGATGAAATGAAATTATTGTTTGATTTCTAACCAAACTTATGTATGTAACTCAATCGCCTAATGGATTGCCGAACCGTAAACATATGTTTACACATCCGATTTCGTGAGTAGGTACCTGGTACTCAAACCTTTTTTAAGAAGTTTCACTTCTATCATGTGTACGGTGTTACACTCGCTTTTTTTTCTCAGGGATATACTTTGGATCCTTGGCTAAAAACCTATGTGTTAAAACTCTCCCCGTACGTCTTCCTTCTTTGCTATTTAAAGTCAAAGGAAAGCTCCTTCAATAGAGATTTCCAGCAGAAATGGTCATCGTCTGGCTATAAAGAGAAAAGGCTATAGGTCTGACCTTTAATTAGGTAAGAATTACCTAAGTATCTGAGACCCTCATCATCTGTGATTCCAATAATTCAAATGCTTGTAAAAACGGGGTGTTAAAAAAAATAACAATATTCTGATCCGATTCGGCTGAAAGCCACTACTTTGAAAACAGAATTTTGTTAACAATTTTTATTTCTGCAAAATAACAATTTATTTTCCATATCCACCTATTTAGCTCGCTATAAGCACACATTTTTGAAACCAGTCGCAGAAGAAAGTACTAAAAATCAATTACAAAATCTAAATTCAAAAAAAAAAAAAACAATGATGACGTTACAGGTTCCCCAAATTCTGAAACAGCCAAAGGAATGAGATTGAAGAATTCTTTTTAATAAGCTTTAGAAAAACCTGAGACATATAGTTTGACTTGTAAACGCTGTTTAAACAACGATCTCGCTATTATGCTAGATTCTTCAAGTGAAGATGAAAGCCAGGAGGATACATCCGACATTTGTTTTGGTCCCGATGCAATTCTCATTACTTTTTATTTCATATAATGTTCCAATTTTTAAACTCAAGTACTAAATAAAATAAACATTATTTAAAATTACTAACTGTTCCATTTTTTTCATTTACCTAAGTAACTTAATTTACTTACCTAATTGTTTCTTAAAAATACTTGACATCCGCATTTGCAGTCGCATCCGCGGATGTTAGCTGTTAAACATCCGCGGATGTCTAAAATTCTACATTCGCAACATCCCTAATATGCATACATACTAAACAGCTGCACAAGCACTACATAAATAGCTTAGAAGCCATGAACCAAAAAGACAAGATCACGCGGGCAGGAGAGTAGCCCGTTAGAATCGCATTTAGGAAAAAAGTTTAACGATTTTGACATTAGCCGTTTGTTTACATTACTTCGTTGTTTACAATTTGATGGTGGCTTTTTACTGCAATTTTCTTAATTTTCGCTTGTGACAACGTGTGCACACATAAGGTAAAGAATAATTTAACACAACGACATGATTTATATAAGAATTTTCATAATGAAAATGATTATTCATGCGTTCAACAATTTCGCGGTTTTCTCCGTTCTCTTCGTTGTTTACTTCTTACAACAAAGATGGCGTCAAGATTTCGGCAGCTAGAAAATAACTTTTTTCTTTCTTTCTTTCCCGCGTGATCTCGTGTCTTTCGTTCATGCTTACAAGCTATCAGATCCCATTTTAAGCACTGTACCTCTCCTTCACTCCCATAACAAAGCAACTGCTACACTCATGAAAGGTTTTGTCATACGAACGAATGCCGCACGATAGGAAAAAGAACAACAGGGCTCGAATCGTAACAGTCGTGAACGAGCAACTCGTCACGTAAAAATGACAAAATCGGATTGTGACAGACGTGAACGAACTTCTCATATCGTAATTCGGTATTATGACAGGCGTGAACGAGCGAGTGAACGTACTCGTTCGTTCGAACTGTCATTCGATTAATATTTGACGAACGTACGCGCGCAAAATTTGATAAAATTTTTTGAAAAATGTAAGTAATTATAAAATTTGTGCAAACATATACCAGTTCATAGCTATTTTTCTTATTTTAGGACCAACTACAATAAATTAAACTCTACGCAGAAGGAACTCATGGCGGAGTTCATGGCCGAACACCCTGACTTGGCAAAGAATTTACTCCCAAACTGCTCGCAGGGAAAAGCAACGGCCAACCGTTTGTGGGAAAACCTCACCAAACAATTACATGTGGTGGACCTTTTCAGGAATCATGGGCTGCACCTCTATATTGACAATTTATGGCAAGAATCTTGCAAGTGTGGCCACAATTCTGGCAAACGGTATATTAGCAATAAAATGTTAAAATGAAAGAAGAGAAACTTACTAGCATAACGTTAAGACTATGGTAACCTTTCCTGTTGAAGTACATGTGCTCGTCTCTAATTGGCTTTTGTAATCCAATGTGTGTTCCGTCTACCCATCCAACCACTAAAAGGAAAAACATTGGATTCACTACGCATTTCATTAGAACGCCTCTTCCTACCTCCAGGTATTTTATATTTTTCCGCAAACCGCTCCTTACATCTTGAAGATTCGTTGGGCTGGAACTTTATCAATTCCGGACACAATTTGCTTTTTATTTCTTTTAAGACGTTGGACGTCAATTTTTATACCGTGCTCTGGCACATACCTTGCACTTGCAAGGAGCGAGAGGCTTGCAGCCAATTGCAAAGCAGCAGGAACGGCTTTTGTGTCATCGCAGTTTATGTTTGTTTTCGATAAAACGTACTGGAATGCCTCCTTGCTTAACCGAAATCTTTTGATGAATCTGCAAGTATAGGAGTAGAGAAGGTAATTTATTTCCTATGTATAATTACTTACGCGTTGTCGGATAATGCCAATGGATTGCTTCTGCCCCGAAGTTGCTTACGCACAACTCTTTCGTCATTTTCGCTTTCGCTAGAGCTTAAATAAAATAAAAGGCTCGGATCCATTTTAGTTTTGCCGCCTTTCTTTATTTACTTTTCACTTATTTTGACACTTCAATGTCTACTGTGACTTAAAAAAGGAAGAAGAAGAGAAAAATAATCGATAACCAAATAAACAATAACGATTCGGTCGCCTTCGATTGTTATCATCCGATATTGTTCATTCGATTAAACTATCACGTAATTTGTGTTCGTACGATTGCCGACTCGTTCACGTCTGTCACGATTCGACCCCAGAACAAAGCTGAAGTGGAACCAAACTGAAGCAGAAGCAAATTGAAGTAGAACAAATGCGATGCTAAAATTTTTCAAATGGAAGTGCGCGCATCACTCAGTGGAAGTAGCGGCGACAGCTAATCAACGAAAATTGATGCGAATTCTTGCTTTGTATAAGTGCATTCCCAAATGTATATATGGATGTATGTATGTACATACATATGTGACCGTGCACTTCCTGTACTAAAGTGTTTTACAAAAACAAAAGTGCAGAAGTGTTATGGCCTGCTTACCTAAATGAATTGTGATATGCTTCCTTTTTTACCACGCTTTTTATACCTTTCATGAGCATGAAATGGTATTATAACTTTGGTCCGATGTTTGTAAGTACCAGAACAAAAAGAGATAGACCCATTTAAATGTATACTGATCATATAAGAACGTCGACCTGAGTTGATTTAGCCATGTCCGTCTGTCCGTCTGTCTGTCTGTCCGTCTGTTTGTATGCAATCTAGTCTCTCAGTTTTCGAGATATCCGGATCAAATTTGGTAGGTGGGTGTATTTTTATAATGTATTAATCATTTGGTGGAACCGGAAGAATCGGACCACTATAACATATAGCTCCCATACAACTGATTGTTCAGATATGAGATTTTTTGTTATAACTTCTCCATTTATGCAGCTACTAACATTAAATTTTGCAATACTTGCACCCATTATCAACAGAATACTTACAGTGAAAATTACAAAGATCGGGACACTATAACCTATAGCTCCCATACAACTGATTGTTCAGATATAAAATTTTTCGTTATAACTCCTCCATTTATATAGCTAGGAACATGAAATTTCGCACTGTTTTCAATAATTATCAACAGAAAACTTACAGTGAAAATTATAAAGATCGGGTAACTATAACCTATAGCTCCCATACAACTGATTGTTCAGATATGAGATTTTTCGTTATAATTCATCCATTTATGTAGCTAGGACCATGAAATTTCGCGCTGATTTCACTCATTTTCAACAGAAGACTTTCAGTGAAAATAACAAAGATCGGGTCACTATAACCTGCAGCCCCCATACAACTGATTGTTCAGATATGAGGTCTTTTATCATAACTCCTCCATTTATGCAGCTAGGAACATGAAATTTCGCACCATTTTCACTCATTATTAACAGAATACTTACAGTGAAAATAACAAGGATCGGATGACTACAACATATATCCATACATCTGATTGTTCAGATATGGGATTTTACTGTAAAACTCCTTTATTTGAACAGCTAAAACCGATAAATTTCGAAAGATATTTTATAAATAATAATACATAGTCTACTGAGAAAATCGTCAAAATCTATGCTGTATAAGCTTTATCTCCTATAGCACTGACTGTTCAGATACCAGTTTTTGCCATATATCTCCTTTATGTAGGAAACTATACCCAATAAATTGTGTTACCGGTTTACATACCGATCACATAGCAGTGCAAATCACTTAGATTGGTGCCATATAAAGTATATCTTCCATACCTCTGATTGTTTAGATGCGATTTTTTATATAAGTATGTAACTCCTCTATCGATGTATGCAGATGTATTCAAAAGCAGTAGTCTGTCAAAGTAAAATTTGCAGATGTTCATGAAAGGTATGAAGCCTTCGGCATAGCCGAAGACAGCGCTGCTCTTACTTGTTATACCCGAGCGCACTTGTGCACAAGGGTATATTAATTTTGTTCACATAACGGTTGTTTGTAACAGCCAAAACGAATCGAGATAGATATAGACAAATGTATACATAAATGATCAGGATGAAAAAAGAAATCGATTAAGCCATGTCTGTCCTTCCGTCCGTCTGTCCCTCTGTCCGTCTGTCCGTGTACACGATAACTCGAGCAAAAATTGAGATATCTTAACGAAATTTGGTATGTAGGTTTCCCTTAATCCAAGGTAGGTTGGTATTGAAAATGGGCGAAATCGGACTTTAACCACGCCCACTTCCCATATAACGGTAATTTCCAGAAATACGAAAACTGCGATATTTTAGTAACTACTAAAGATAATTCACTCAAAATTGATATTTATAATAAGTTTTAGACGAAAAATAAGAATATTGTAAATTTTTGGAAAATGGGCGTAGCCACGCCCACTTATGGTTATATGCGTATATCTTGGTAACCGCTGCACCAATTTCTTCCAAACTTGGCACAGTTGTTGGCCTTCGCACAACATACTAAATGGCCGAAAATTTTTAAAATCGCTCAATAACCACGCCTACTTCCCATATAACGGTAATTTTCAGAAATACGAAAACTGCGATATTTTAGTAACTACTGGAGATTATTCGCTCAAAATTGATATTTACAATAATTTTTCGACGAAAAATAAGAATATTATAAATTTTTGGAAAATGGGCGTAGCCACGCCCACTTATGGTTACATGTGTATATCTTCGTAACCGCTGCACCAATTTCTTCCAAACTTGGCACAGTTGTTGGCCCTGGTACAGCATACCAAATGGCCGAAACTTTTTAAAATCGGACAATAACCACGCCCACATCCCATATAACGGTAATTTAGAGAAATACAAAATCTTCGATAAATCAGTAAATATTGAAGCTAATTTATTCAAAATTGATACTTGCAACAATTCTTTACCAAGAAATACGTTTATGGTAAAATTTTGGAAAATGGGCATGGCACCGCCCACTTATGATCACATATATGTATATCGGTAACCGTTCTACCAATTTGTACCAAACTCGGTGTGGTTATTGTGCTTGCCACATATAAGCAAAACGTTGAAAATTATTGAAATCGGACTAAAATAACGGCCGCTTCTCATATAACGGTAAATTTCAGAAATGCTTGAAACTTCAATATTTCGAAATTGAAGGACGCTAATTTACTCAAAATTGATACACCCCGGCTTACCATCTAGCGGAAGGTTTCGGAAAGGTGAAAAAACATATTTAATACTTGCGCCGGGTATTTAATGTTCGGCTCCGCCCGAACTTAGACTTTCTTACTTGTTTTGTCTTGTTTTTGGCTTATGGGCTGTTTTTGATTAGGCGTAAAAGCGCATTTAGCGCATTTAGCTCTAAATGCTACTCTAAATGTACATTTATCCATACAAAATTCGTCACCTAAATGCAACTCCATTTTTGCATTAAGAGTCTAAATGCTAAAAGCAACCCTGTGATCTTCACCCTGTGATTTCCACGATTCGAACATGGTTTAAAGTGGCAACATTGCTTTTTCGCGTATACAGTGGCTAGCTGCATTTCAGTAATCGCCGATCGAGATTTCATTTATTATTTTACATTATTTGGATAAAGAAAAGTTACGCAAATTAAACATCGATGTGATGCTAATAGAAATCTGGATCAATTTGTGATCAACTCTGTTTGTTTTGTTTCCTAATTAAGTGAGGAAATTTTAATTGACAGACCGACAAATGAATATATATACAAATGTTCGGTTATGGTTGAAACAATTCAAGTTTTTGTATTGAATTTTTGGTTTAAAATTTATTTTTTCCTTTTCAGTAGGGTTTTTGCACATTATCTTTTCCCTGAGAATTGATCGTAAAAGATAGGGATCTGAATAAGCGACTGGAACACGGCTGTTTGTCAAAAGCATACGATTTTGAACTCGCGTAAATGTACATTTGCTAAATGCGGTAGCATGAACGCTCTTCGAAAACACATGTTCGAAAGTGCTAAATGTTGCATTATAACCCTTTATAGCATCATGTAACATATATGTTACAAACCCCTACCGAGCACGCAAGACGGTTAAAAAATAATTGGTTCATTTTTACTTGATGTGACAGCACTGATACAAAGCGTTTTATACAATTGCAGGTTATTTATTTGTTTAACGCATGGCATTACTGCCTAAAACGTTATTTCAATTTCAAGTTTGGTGAAGTTAGTGAACACACGTGCATGCTCTCTTTAAGAATTTCATAGAAAATAACTATTGAGTCTTTTAATAAAATCTTTTGTTTAAAAGTACAGGTAAGTTCATTTTTGTGCATATTTTGTACTAACTAAACAAAAAAGTGTCATAATTAAGATACAGAAGCAAAAAAATAATAATTTTTGTAACATTGAGGTACAAGGGCCACTAAAAGTGTTTATGCTTGGTTTCTGCTTTACTCCAACAGAATGGCATCCCGCAGCTTATCAGTTGAGCAGATCTTTAAGGAATTGATAAATTTTTAGGATTGTGAGGACGGGTTCGAAATTGACGATGATAGCATTGCCGATTCCGATTTTTAGCCGTAGAACAATGTAAGTTTAAACTTTGATACCGATTTCGATCAGGGCGACGGACACAATGAAATCGAGAACAATAACTCTGATAGTGACTTAGAGCAAACATCCGTATTTGCAAATGCTACTCAGCCTGGCTCATCACGTCGCATTAAACTAAAGAATGTTGTATGGAAGAAAAAAAGTATTGAGCGAAATGAAAATCAACTTCGATTCTCAGGAAAGGAAGAACTACCTAGTGATATTTTGGATCTAGAAACGCCCATCCAGTTTTTTCTAAAAATATTTCCTCACGAATTATTTTTGAATATCGCTGAGCAAACCAATACTTACATTATAGAAAAGGACCCCGGCAAGAATTTCCATGTGTCCGAAATCGATATCCAGCAATTTATTGGAATAACGTATACAGTATATTTTGCTTTGCTGCCTCTATGCTTAAGTGCACATTTAAGATACCTACCCCAAAATGCGCATCAGAGGCAATATTTTTAACATTTATAAGGAAACTGCTCCGATAGATGCATTTAGCATACCTGCACATTGGCGATACCTGCCTTAAAAAATATGCGACTAGTATCAATTATCAAAGAAAGTATTACATTTACCTGCACTGGCCCTACAATTACCTAATTTTACAACTTTTTATTTATTTTGTTCAGCTCACAGAACAACGAAAATGGCTATAAAGTTATGTAGTTATATAGATAATTAGATACTATTCGGTAAAAATTTCGCTGGCAGTAATTTCTACGTGGTAAGTGCTTCTCCATTATTTGCTTTCATAGGGACTTGGATAACTTCCTCATTGAAGTAGTAAAGAAAATTCGCTTAAGTACCTTTTTCGGTTAAGTGCACAAGTTTTTCGTGCAAAGAAGGATGTGCAGCTAAGCAAAATATACTGTATAATGTCTTTGGTACATCTTCCAAGAGTGAGATCGGAACACCTTTCATAAAGGAAACGATGCCAGCAAACAAATTTGAAAAAATCAGGCAATTTATACACTTCAATGTCAATTCCAAAATGCCTCCTCGCGAGCATCCCAACGCGGATAGGCTGTTTAAATTCGACCAATACTGACAAAATTGAACGAAACATGTATGCAAATTACGCTAAAGAGTCAGCTTTGTGTAGATGAGCAAATTTGCTCAACGAAAGCAAGGAATAACTTGAAAAGGTATAATCCCAAAAAGCCGAAAAAATGGGTATATAAAATATTTGTACTTTGCGACACTAGCGGTTTCGCGTACAGTTTTGAAGTAGAATCTGGAGCTGAAAATATTATAGAGCCTGGAGAGCCAGATTTGGGTGCTGCCTCAAACGTTGTAATGCGACTGGCCAGGAATATCCCGAGGAATCAAAATTATAGGCTTTATTTTGTCAGGATTGTCGGTATATTTTCTTGGATGTTTATTCTTTGGATGTTCAAATACAACTGACTGTGGCGAGTACAAGAATAATGGAACTCAAAGAAACATATTAACAGAAAAGCAAACGTACAAAGTAAAATGTCAAAAGTTCAGTGATGCCACAGAGTAATATACATGTCATATAATTGCAACTTAAACTAAGATGACAGCTCGGCCCTTCCTGATGGAAACTCGTTCCGAGTTTATTCAAGGATATCACTGGTATCTTCATGGGCATTGCTGTCGTTGTCTGGTACATCATCGACTTCGGGAAAAAGTGCGCACCAAGGCTTCAGTTTATCACTGCTCACCACAGTGCGGAAGCGTCGTTGTTTAAGCTGTGCACCCTCAACATCTTTGATGATATAGCGATCAAACCGGAGAACCTTGTCGACAACATAAGGCCCTCGATATTTGTGTTCTAGTTTTCGGGATTCGTCTGTGCTTGGAATAGCGCTCTCAACCAAAACAAGATCACCTTCATCATACTTAGGTGGTTGCTTATGCTTAGATTTGAATCTGTGCTTCCAGGCAACACGTGCTGATTCAATATTCTCAATAGCATTCGAACGTCGTTGGCTTAATGTGAGTTGCTCTAGGTTGACGTGGTCGTCGTGCAAGGTAGCAAGAATCTTATTGCCACTAATGTCACGCAACGGGAAATCGTATATCAGATCAATTGCTGAGTATTTAGTTGTAGCATTAACGTGAGTGTTGATAGTCCACTGGAGACGGCGCAAGTCGTCGTCCCAAGTCTTAGGATTTGTTGTCGTAGTCTTTAAGAATGCTAGCACTGACTGGTTGACTCGTTCAGCCAGGCCATTCGATCGTGGTGTACGGACAGCTACTTTTATATGCTCAATATCGTTGATTTTGCAGAACTCGTGGAACGATGAAGACGTAAACGATGTTCCTCGATCGGTGATAATCTTCTTCGGCAACCCAAAGTACAATGTCAACTGGTTTAACGCATCTACAACCGGCTTTGTTTTTGTAGATCTAACAGCAACAATTATCGTATACCGGGTCAATGCGTCGACAAGAACCAGGATGTATTCGTTACCGCGTCGACTCTTTATAAATGGCCCTAGATGATCCATGTGCAATACTTCGAACGGCAGCTTGGGAACCTCAATACCGTATAGTTGGCATTCTTTCTTCGCAGGCTCACGACAAAAACAGCACTCAATGCACCCCTTAAGATACCCTTTTACAAAATTGCGACTTCGTGGGAACCAAAAGTGCTGTGCTAGTCGCTTGAGGGTACCATCAACCCCTGGATGACCAACTTCGTCGTGACATAACTTCACAATTCTCCAACGCATGCCACGTGGAATAGCCAAAAGTAGCTTTTCATCGCATTTCTTATAAAGTCGGTGATGCTTGATGACATATTCCTTCTCGTACATCTTTAGTTGATCCGATTTGGTTTGCTTAGTAAGGACATTAACGATGTCATTTAAATGTGGATCTTGCTTTTGCATTGTAAAGATCCAATCTTCCAAAGCAATGGAAACTGGCATCACACATGACGTTACATCTTCTGGATTACCTGGAGCTTCGACCGGTGCTCGACTCATAGCATCAACATGGCTCATACTCTTACCTGGACGATGCGTGACTGTATAATCGTACTCAAGTAGCTTCAATAACCACCGTGCTACTCGTGGAATCATTGGCTTCTTGGACTTCAAAGTTGAAATGGCGCTGCAATCAGTGACGACAACGAACGGTTTACCCAGCACATACATTCGAAAACGTTGGCAGCCCTCCACCAAAGCTAATACTTCTAGCTCGTACCCATGATACTTGCTCCGGTGAAACCTAGGAAACGTCGCACCTCCGTAGCATTTGTAGGTACAGGGTATCGTTGAATTGCCGCAGTTTTAATCCGGCCTGGAGTTAGACCATTCTCATTTAACTCATGATCTAAGAACGTAACGCTGTTCTGCATAAAAGCACACTTCGACAAACGAAGCGTTAGGCCCTCTCTCTGGATAATACGCAAAAACTCTTCAAGGTTCTGCACACCATCTTCAAAAGTATCGGATGCAACAATAACCTCATCAACATAGCTGACAACCTTTGACTTGATAGCCTCGACGAGACGCATCATCATTTTCTGGAAAGTGCTCGGCGCATTACGTAACCCAAATAACATTCGGTTGAACTCATAATGCCCGTTATGAGTTATGAAAGCTGTCAACCCTTTTTACTCTTCCTCAATCTCTATCTGATAATATCCAGACATCATGTCTAGAGTGGTAAAATACTTCTTACCTGCCAATATTGATAGTGTACCATCTACTGTTGGCATCGGCCATGGCTGCTTCTGTGTGATTGCGTTCACCTCTCTGTAATCAACACATAGGCGGTGCTCTCCATTCGCTTTTGGAACCAACACTATGGGTGATGCATACATCGAGTTCGAGGGACGAATAATATTTAAATTCATTAATTCAGTAACTATCTCTTCGACAATTTTCTGTTTCGGTATAGGTATTGGATACGGGTTTCGCACTACAGGTTTTTCCGACGTTAGAGATATTTGCATTTTAGAAAAACTACATTTACCTATCTCACGCAATTCTTCGCCGAAACAATTCGCATACTTGTTCAAAATTCTTTTTAACTCTACTTGTTGGTTAATGGCAAGTTCATGGCCAACATTAATTTTATTCTCATCAATTAATCCGACATAACACTGTCCATTTTCGATCACAACACGGCTTTTTGATAAAATATCTGTCCCGATTATGGCATCGTACGCCATCAGTTCGTAATCAACAACTAAAAGTTCGCATTCAAAGTCTTTGTTATCAATCTTTACCTACGTATTTATTAGTTCACGGCACTGAAACTCACCTCCAGCGAAACCATGCAGCCTTTTATCGCACAATACTGTTTTATGTTCAGACTTTTCGACAATATCACGTTTCACAAGCGACTTGCAACTGCCTGAATCAATTAGTGCTTCACACTCAACATGATTTATTAAAATAGTTTTAGTCAAGGTTCGGTTCACTTGCATGCTGTCTTCAATTGCATTAACGATCGCTTCATTGTTAGTCACACTTTGGTCGACTTGCATATTATCTACAATTGCATTAACACGCGATTGATTTCTTTTAGGGCACTTCTTGGTTTCATGCGTAAACTCAGCACAATTTCCACACTGTAATTTCTTTCGTGGTTCCAGGCAATTTCGAGAAATATGCCCCCGTTCACCACAGTTGTAACACACTGGCCCATTTTTCATATTAGTTTTCACGTCTATTTTGCTGCCACTATTGTTATTTCTCAAAATAAATGTTGACGCACTAGTAACATGATCTTTTCTCATATTTAGTACTGTATTGTTCAGTGCTTTCAACAAATCAGAACACTTCACAAAATGCATGGCTGTTAATGTTTTTCGTAAGCCATCATCACTCAAACCATTGATAATATATCGCATTATCGCATTGTCTTCTAGGTTTCCGCGACGCCCTAGAGCTAACATTTTAAAATAAAATTCGGTCAACGATTCTGTTTTGTTCATACGCGTGTGCATAAGCTGTATGTGAATGTCTGCACTATTCATTATGCACGGAAAATCATTTAAAAATGAAGTTACAAATTGTTACCACTGTTTAAATATGGGTTGCGAGTCGACCCACAGCTTTGCAACACCTTTAAATTTACTTTGTATAGCAAAAAGTAACACACTGTCATTCCATCGATATGCATCTTTTAATTGTTCAACCCGCTCTACGAATTGCATTGATGTCATATCCTCCTTACACGGGTTAAAGTCTGGCAAAATGTCATTTATTTCACGTACAACACTTCTTCTACATTCGTATGTGTCATTCTCGTTTATGCCTGCCCCACCATTCGCAATTTCACCACGCATCATTTGAATATTTTCAACATACGTTGGGCCAACAACATGCCCAAAGCTACTTGCTCTTGGCGGCGACACTACTGGCGACAACACGGCGCTTGTTGTTGTAACCGTCGTTGTGAAATTCGCTTCTCTAATGCTATTCGTTGCACATACAGGCAAACTGTATGCTGTCGGCGTTTCAGTCATATTCAATCGGGGTGGATTTTCGTATTGCTCAGCAATACCATGCAAGCGCAAGCGACACAGAATTTTGCGAATATGCAAAAGAATTTTCTGGAGCAATATGCTGCACTGCCGTCGTGTGATTTACCAGCGTCGATGCGTCTAACACTGCTTGAAATTGACGAGATAACGTCTCCATTGTACGTTGAAGCCCGCTTACCTCGCTGCGCAATTTCATCACCTCAGTGTCCTCATGCGCTACTGGAACGTCCACTGCCTGCTGCCTCTGCTCCTCCGTATTCTCCATTATCGGTGCTTGTTTCGTTGAACTGGCTCTGTGTTTCGATTGAAATTGTTGCAGCCGCGCAACCAATTCCAATTTATTGCCCATCGTTGTTTCTCCTACTTTTCGCAACTCTTCTTTCAACTCAACTATCGTGAGTTTTTCTACACTCATACCCGCGCGGCGCTTTAACAAATTATTATTATTATTTTTTTTTCTTATTCTTTTCTTTTACTTTTCACTGCGCGTATGGGTTTCATTACCCCCTTCTGAATTCTGTCAGGATTGTCGGTATATTTTCTTGAATGTTTATTCCTTGGATGTTCAAATACAACTGACTGTGGCGAGTACAAGAATAATGGAACTCAAAGAAACATATTAGCAGAAAAGCAAACGTACAAAGTAAAATGTCTAAAGTTCAGTGATGCCACAGAGTAATATACATGTCATATAATTGCAACTTAAACTAAGATGACAATTTTGACAACTATTTTACGTCGTTGCCACTGATAGAATATTTGGCCAAGGAAGGGATCCTCAGCTTAGGAACAGTACGTCGAAATAGAATACCTGAGTGTAAATTGCCGACAGATAAGGATATTTCTAAAAAGGGTCGTGGGCACTCCGTCGAATATGTTGCAAATGTGGGAGGAGTAGATGTAGTTTCCGTTGTTTGGAAGGACAAAAAATCTGTTACTCTAGCATCTAGTTTTGCTGGAGAGCTACCGAAGTCCGAAGTACGGCGCTATGATAAGGCCAACAAAAAATATATTACTATTGAACGACCTTACATAGTGACCGAGTATAATCGTAACATGGGTGGGGTGGATCTCATCGACAGCATTATGGGCCGCTACAAAATATTGTTGAGAAGTAAAAGATGGCAAGTTCGCTTGTTTTACCACTTTTTAGATTTTGCAATGTCTAATGCTTGGCTCTTATACAAAAGAGTTCGCAAAGAAAAGAATGTGCAGGACAATCAGTTGTCATCAGCAGATTTTCGTTTGGAGGTTGCTACGGTCCTGTGCAAATTAGGTACAAAGACAACCATAAAACGCAGAGGTGGAATAGAAGCGGATATTCAAGCGAAAAAGCATAAGGGACCTGCTCAACATGTTCCTCTAATTGCAGTTAGACAAGACCAAGTTGGGCACTGGCCAGTATGGGCCGAGAAGAGAATCCGTTGCAAGCGCCCAGGATGCAGTGGAGTGTCACAAACGGTATGTGAAAAATGTGTAGCTGTATGCTACAACAAGCAGAACAATTGCTTTAAATTATTCCATACATGCTAATGTGTTTGTTTTTGTTTTTTTTTTTGGAGAAGTTGTCACATAATGTGACATATCTGTTACACTCCCTTTTTGGCTGTTTCCTCCCCAAATAAAAGAAAAATCTTGAAAATTAAAAAATACGTGTTTCATTTTTTTACTAAAATCTATTAGAATCCGTATGATTTTACTTTTTTTATTTAGTGGAGTTATAAAGGGTTAAATGCAGCAAAAACGCTGCATTAGCATCTGCGATTTTGCCTGCTCCTAGGTATATGTACATATATTATGTATCTATGTGTCTTGACGATGACCGCTAACTGCGTGGCTTGCGCTAACAATTGGTAATGAGTTGCTATACATACATACATGCAAATGTTCTAGTGCAGTGCCCGCCAAACACTTTCCTGGGAAACGAACTATATTCGGCCTTTCACATGTACACAATCGGCTTCTTACACGTACACAATCCGAACGTCAACAGAAAGAGTAAAAGAGCAACACATTTTATTTAGTTGCATGTAGAGCTGTAAAAGTAACGAAATTTCGGATACCCGTATGTATTCGTTACTAATCCAATCAACACCCGTATCTTTCGTATCGTTACTTTACTCGTTACTTTTGATACAAGCACTTCTACCTCACAAGAATCATCGCAGCAAATCTTGCAGCGTAAGGAAATGATCGTTCTTCCATATGCATACATGTACATACATATATACATATGTATACACGCAACATATTTTTGTATCGAATCGAACAATTTGATACAGGCTGCGTTTCTTTAAACATTCCGGATAATCCCATTTCACAGCCGGAATAAGCATAATGCGTTTGAAATATACGTCAACATATCACCAGGAACGTTCTAAAGAATAAATAAACAAAAAAAATTATTCCAAACGTTCAGAATGAATAAAGAAATGCAGCCACAATCAAGCACTTATATCTCACAGGAATCATGCATGCATGTACGTATATATACAGGCAACACATTTTATTATCGATACGAAAAACAGTTTCGTTACCGCACAATATGTTGTGTTGTATTGATTCTCGTTGATGGTGCATATACGGAACATGCGAGTAACGAGATTATTATGTGAGTAACGATTCGGTTGATGGTGCATATACGGAACATGCGAGTAACGAGATTATTATGTGAGTAACGATTCGGTACTACAAGCACTTGTACCTCACAAGAATCATCGCAACGATTCTTGCAGCGTAAGGAAATGTTCGTTCATACATATACATACATGTACGTATATACATATGTATACACGCAACATAGTTTTGTATCGATTCGAACAATTTGATACAATCAAGCACTTGTACCTCACACGAATCATGCATGCATGTACGTATATACACACGCTACACACTTTAGTATCGATACGAAAAACAGTTTCGTTACCGAACAATATATTGTGTTGTATTGATTCACGATGATGGTGCATATACGGAACATGCGAGTAACGAGATTATTATGTGAGTAACGATTCGGTACTTCGAGTCAGGGGTTGTATTCGTTACTCAGTAACGAATACATACGGTTTGCCACAGCTCTAGTTGCATGCAAATAATAGGCGAAGCAGGTTGATGACGCATTATTGTTGAATAAAGTAGGTACACGGAGCAGAATGAATGAATATTCATTCAAAAATTTTATAACACAATTTTTCGTACATACACCCCTAGAAATAGGTATGTATATGGAACCAAGTCGTGCTTTTTCTTCATATTAAAAGAACTTTGTGAATTATGTATTTTTTTTTTTTATACCAGACTAGTCCTCAATTAAAACATACAATATGTTTTGTTATTTATCTTTTGGTTTAGTCGTTATTTAAACTGTTCTTAAACGTCAAGTTTTACCTAATTTTAAAATAAATTTATATTAGATATATATATTTTCATTTTATTTCTACTTGAAATCAACGAATTTTCTTTTAATATTCAGAGTATCTTTTTTGCTCAGAAATCCACACTTAAATTACAAATAAAATAATAATAATTTTGTACAATACATACAAAATTTTACCAACTTTTTCCTTTCTCAGGGCCGTTAACTTTCATTATTGGGCAATTCACAAGGTGTTGTGAAGTTATATTTTCCTAACAAAAGTTGTGTTAAAACACGACGGTTGTGAACACCTGTTACGATTATTTATTATATCTCAGCACTTAACCTCACATAACACCGAATAAACATAGGTTGCAGAGTTGTATCGTCATGTGTTATTTTTCTTCACAAAACAATAACAACATTTTTACAACTGTCATGAAATATCATGACTTCACGACAAACACGACAAATACACCTTGTGAATTGCCCATATATGTTTCTATGTTGTTTAGATCTAAAAAAAACGCACAATGAAAAAACGGCAGAAAAACATACCAAAGTTTTTATAATAAGTAATACAACACAGAAATTTTTTTCCGTGCATTACCACCAGCGCATTCTCATTTTTTATTTCATAACTAATACATTCTCATTTTAAGATTTTTCTCTTTTTGGCGGACACTGTTCTAGTGCACTCGGTTGTCTTGCTATGATTTGCCGCTATTTAACTTCAACCCTTCTTTTTGGTTTTACAATTTGCTTCACCGCAGAACTCAAGCGCTATCGTCGCTGTAGCAAATTCTATTTCGAATGTTGAAGTGTTTGTATTGTTGCGCAGCTTGCTATAGAATATTCTATATATATATTCTGTGTTGCTGTTAACGCTCCTGTAGTACGCCGCTTGGAAGTACTGCATAGTAGTAAAGTGTGCCTTTTAATGGGTGATTTTTTTGAGGTTAGGATTTTCATGCATTAGTATTTGACAGATCACGTGGGATTTCAGACATGGTGTCAAAGAGAAAGATGCTCAGTATGCTTTGACATTTCATCATGAATAGACTTACTAACGAGCAACGCTTGCAAATCATTGAATTTTATTACCAAAATCAGTGTTCGGTTCGAAATGTGTTTCGCGCTTATGTTCGCGACAAATTTTGTTCAGCGATGAGGCTCATTTCTGGTTGAATGGCTTCGTAAATAAGCAAAATTGCCGCATTTGGAGTGAAGAGCAACCAGAAGCCGTTCAAGAACTGCCCATGCATCCCGAAAAATGCACTGTTTGGTGTGGTTTGTACGCTGGTGGAATCATTGGACCGTATTTTTTCAAAGATGCTGTTGGACGCAACGTTACGGTGAATGGCGATCGCTATCGTTCGATGCTAACAAACTTTTTGTTGCCAAAAATGGAAGAACTGAACTTGGTTGACATGTGGTTTCAACAAGATGGCGCTACATGCCACACAGCTCGCGATTCTATGGCCATTTTGAGGGAAAACTTCGGAGAACAATTCATCTCAAGAAATGGACCGGTAAGTTGGCCACCAAGATCATGCGATTTGACGCCTTTAGACTATTTTTTGTGGGGCTACGTCAAGTCTAAAGTCTACAGAAATAAGCCAGCAACTATTCCAGCTTTGGAAGACAACATTTCCGAAGAAATTCGGGCTATTCCGGCCGAAATGCTCGAAAAAGTTGCCCAAAATTGGACTTTCCGAATGGACCACCTAAGACGCAGCCGCGGTCAACATTTAAATGAAATTATCTTCAAAAAGTAAATGTCATGGACCAATCTAACGTTTCAAATAAAGAACCGATGAGATTTTGCAAATTTTATGCGTTTTTTTTAAAAAAAAAGGTATCAAGCTCTTAAAAAATCACCCGTTAGAAGGTTTTGCGCAGCTCTTTAATACATACCCTGCAGCAAAATTTAGAGACAGTCTGGCAAAGCGCTAGTTCCGCCCTACAAATTTCAGAACTGTCTCTGAACTACTGCAAAAGGAATGCAGAGCTGGACTGTTGAAACTCGTATGTTGCTAGTAGGGATGTTTCGAATGTCATATTTTTCCCATTCGCAAATGCGAATTTTCGGAATGCGAATGTGCGAATGTTAGGAATAACATTAAAAAAGCTATAATCGACTTAAGTCATCGTTTTTATTAATTAAGAATTTTGTAAATTATTAGAACATTGAACGAGTGCGTAACCTATACAGTGCATTGGTCTGGCGACTATCATTTGCTGGCCTAAA